ATGCTTGACAAGCTTACACCCCATCTACTGAGTGAGTGAGTGAGTGAGTGAGTGAGTGAGCTGGGTTTAACGCCGCTTTTAACAGTATTCCAGTTATATCGCGGTGTGTCAGCTTAATGTGGGAGGAAAGCCCTAAGTGATGCAGGTCTCAGACGTTTACCACTTTGGTGAAGCCTACGAGCACGGGTATGGTGCTCACAAACCTAGAAACACAATCGGGGCGAACCGGGATTCGAACCAACAATTATAGGTTTCTGAGGTTCTTAAGGGACGCAACTCTGCACAGCGAATCGCTGCGCCTTTGACGACTTGGCCAACCGTGCCCTAAAACCCACGATGTTCACGGAAACGTCCGTGTTATTGTTTACGTTGTTTCATAACGCCGAGCCCCTGACCTACATGTAAATACGATGTTGGTCAAGTGGTTGATGAACTAACTACATGGCAGGCCCTCTGAGATATCGGGGAGTCGAGAGCTCGACACACATGTATTCAGAATACACCGTGTCAGGTAATCACAAGGTCAGGCAGCAGTCAGGCTGTAGGGCGTGGTTGTGTGAAGTACGGTGAATCAACTGATGAGAACATTGGTCGATCTCCAAGGACTGTCACATTATATTTTTGAAAACAGTTGTTTAGAAGCTTTAAAATAAGCGAAGCAACAGTACTGGCTTGGTCTCTATCACAATGTAAGCGGTACTGGTGAACCAAATGGGACGTATGTGTGAAGAATCTCAGGACAAAACACAGGAGGATGAAAAGCGACGTTTGCGCGCTTTTGGTGTGTGTGTTTGTTGGTAGAGTGTGTGTATGTTGGTAGTGTGTGCGTGTTGGTAGAGAGTGTGTGTTGGTTGATTGTGTGAGTTGGTAGAGTGTGTGTGTGTGTTGGTAGTGTGTGTGTGTTGGTTGATTGTGTGTGTTGGTAGATTGTGTGTGTTGGTAGTGTGTATGTGTTGGTAGAGAGTGTGTGTGTGTTGGTAGAGAGAGAGAGAGAGAGAGAGAGAGAGAGAGAGAGAGAGAGAGAGAGAGAGAGAGAGAGAGTGTGTGTGTTGGTAGAGAGTGCGTGTGTGTTGGTAGAGTGTGTGTTGGTAGAGAGTATATGCGTGTGTTGGTAGAGTGTGTGTGTGTGTTGGTAGAGTGTGTGGGTGTGTAGGTAGATTGTGTGTGTGTGTGTGTGTGTTGGTAGAGAGTTTGTGTGTGTTGGTAGAGTGTGTGTGTTGGTGGAGAGTGTGTGTGTTGGTAGAGAGAGTGAGTGTCTGTGTGTTGGTTGAGTGTGTGTGTGTGTGTGTGTGTTGGTAGAGAGTGTGTATGTTTGTTAGTAGAGAGTATGTGTGTGCTTGTAGAGTATGTGTGTTGGTAGAGAGTGTATGTGTGCTTGTAGAGTATGTGTGTTAGTAGATAGTATGTGTGTGCATGTAGAGTGTGTGTGTTGGTAGAGAGTGTGTGTGTTGGTAGAGTGTGTGTGTTGGTAGAGAGCATGTGTGTGTGTTGGTAGAGTATGTGTGTTAGTAGAGAGTGTGTGTGTTGGTAGAGAGTGTGTGTGTTAGTAGAGAGTGTGTGTGTATACTGGTAGAGTATGTGTGTTAGTAGAGAGTGTGTGTGTGTGTTGGTAGAGTATGTGTGTTAGTAGAGAGTATGTGTGTGCTTGTAGAGTGTGTGTGTTGGTAGAGAGTGTGTGTATGCTGGTAGAGTGTGTGTGTGTTAGTAGAGTATGTGTACAAGTAATCTATTTAACTCGCCGTTAATGTTCAAGGCGGCGTAAAACCAAACTCACTTACTACTGTGACGTCATCTGTAAATGCTCGTAAACAGACATGAAATACAAATTACAAAGTTTTTGCTGAGTAACGAGAACTTTCGCGCTGTACGTTAATTGATTAGGCCCGATAGAGTCCATTTCTGGTTAGGGACAACACCAAGGTATCTGCAGATCAACCACAGACAATCCAGTGATTGACATCATGAGCATCAATCAACAGGGATACGACGTCATGCATCAACCAAGTCAACCGAGCCTGACCACTTAAACCCTTTAGCCGTCTTTTACAATCACGGGTTGCTGAATACCAGTTCTAACCCGGATCTTCACGGGGCTCCTCTGTTATGAATGTAAACTCTCCAGAAGAGCTCCCCGGGAACATCTCGTTCTTCTTCCGTGGTCTTAATTTCCCCAAAACTTTACAATCTCAAGCATTACCTCGGAGCTTTAACCTTTAACCAAATTGACACGGATATTATAATTAGACAACCCTCGTTAGGTCGATCCCTGAGTCAGGACCAGGGCCAATCGAAAAGATCAAAATACTATTAACGTATCAGTTTACTTATCACAGAGTCATAAAATCACCCACCGCATGCCTGTACCGCCAGCCTTCTATAGGAGCCTTCTCTGGGTCCCCCCTGACATACCTCCTCAGCCGGAGACGACCTGGACACACGGCAACGTGTGCGTGTACGGCGTGGCTCATCCAGGGATTACATTCCCCTCTGTAACGTCTCTTCACGTCCACGTGTCTCCTTTATTATACCCGTAGGCCCGAGAGAGTGACAATGATCTGTACTTGAAATCAATGTTTCGGTCCCGCCAGTTTACTCACATATATTAGGGGCACGGGTGACCTAGTCGTCAAATGCTGCAGGTCAAGGATTCGAATCCCAGATTATCCTGATTAAGTTTTTTGGTTTGCACCACCATACCCGTGTTCGTGGGTTTCACCAAAGAGGTTAACGTCTGAGGCCTGCATCATGTCGGGTGTTTCTCCAACAACAAAGTGACATTCCGTTATGTAACTGAAACACTGTTCAAAGCGGCGTAAAACCCCACTCACTCACTACATTCATGTTGTTTGTTTGTTTGTTTTTTAACGCCGCACTCAGCAATATTCCAGCTATATGGCGGCGGTCTGTAAATAATCGAGTCTTTACCAGACAATCGAGTGATTAATATCATGAGCATCGATCCATGCAATTGGGATCGATGGCATGCATCAACCAATCCAGCGAGCCCGACCACCTGATCCCGTTAGTCGCCTCTCACGACAAGCATAGTCGCCTTTTACGGCCAGCATGGGTTTCCGAAGGCCTATTCTACCCCGGATCTTCACGGGTACACTACATTCATTCATGTAAGGTCATTGGCCATGATTTGTAGTTGAAATGATTCTTGTATTTCCACAAAAACTGCCGTGCAAAAACGTATTCACCAGTGTTTGATGGTGGCTAAAAGTGAAACAATCAAGAAATGGTTATTCGATGGTGTTGTATTTGATAAGGGTATTAAAGTTGGACCTGACGTTTGCAGTGTTTCAACCTAGTAACGTTTTGATAACGTTTGTAATGTTTTCATCAAATCAAATTTTCAAGTGTATAATTCTTTATGGACATCAGTTTTCGATGTTGGCGTTATTACTAAACTATTTACAGTGTTAGAACTTAATTTCAAAGAGCCTTGTCGAACGGTTCAGTTAGAATGACGTTAGCCAATAATTATCTCAAATGGTCATTGTTTTCGACTTTTTTCTTGTATTTCATCAAAGGTAAACCAATACAATCTGCATGTTGATATGTTGAATCGTTGGTCTCATGTTAACAGGATATTAAACAAATGTCTGAATACCAGCCATAATAACACAGTCTTATCCGCCCAATGTCCCGTGATTAATGAGCCAATCAGATGTATGCTACAATCGGCCAGCACGGACCCAGAGCGTGAAGCCCACGTTGTGTTCTTAATTTCTCGTCGAGTGATTTCAGGGTTATAGTTGGTGTGTCGCGCGGTAATGACCTCATCGATATCATTTACACCAAGACTTGGGTGCAGGGGTACCCCCAGGCAGATATAAAGGGGTTCCGTATGTAAAACAACCCCCCAATGAAATACTTACAGGTTCTTCAACCATAAACTCTCGATCATTGGGTACACACTGCAAATGGCTTTGCCAAGCTTTACGGAAAAGCGTTTAAATGACATTTCATATTTCTTACACGCCATTAATCTGTTTTTGCAATCAAGTTTAAATAATGAGTTTTCTTCTTTTACACAAATATTACACAAGTGACTGCGTTTAATGTTTAGTACTACAGAATACCTGCTACTGAGGGACGGTGTGAGTGTACCCATGAGGGTTGTACAAAAAGTATAAGGTCCCCCCACAATATTTATTACGGAAAACACAGTTTGACTTCAATATTATAAAACATGCAAGAAAAACGTAAAGTGTCTTTTCATTACCCAAACTTGTGTACAATGAGTATACCCGGTATATCCCCTTTATTTTCAGTCATATATAGAATTATATACAGCTGTGTCGGCTAGAGTGTGCGGTCAGCAATATTCCAGCTACATCATAGCGGCCTTTAATAATCTAGGTCATGTAATGAGTAAGTTTGGTTTTACGCCGCTTTTAGCAATATTCCAGCAATATCACGGCGGGGGACACCAGAAATGGGCTTCACACATTGTACCCATGTCGGGAATCGAACCCGGGTCTTCGGCGCGACGAGCGAACGCTTTCACCACTAGGCTACCCGACCGTCCCCTTAGGTCATCACACTCTCGTGGGGACCCGTGAAGATCCGGGTTAGAATATTTCTTCAACAACCCATGCTTGTCGTAAGAGGTGACCTACAGGATCGGTGGTCAGGCTCGCTGACTTGGTTGATGCACGTCATCGTATCCCAAATGATCGATGCTAATGATGTCAATCACTTACTGTCTGGTCCAGACTCGATTATTTACAGACCGCCGTCATATAGCTAGAATATTGCTGAGTGTGACGTTAAACAACAAACAAACATACAAACACTGTCGTGGGTTACGATAGCATGTACCCAGCTAGGCCGCACTGTTGCCGATTCAAATCAGTCTGTCAACTCTTGCGATAAGCATGTGGATCTGTATATATATAATCGAACCCGGGTCTTCGGCGTGACGAGCTAACGCTTTAACCACTAGGCTACCCGACCGCTCCTTGACATTTTAAAAGCATGACACTATTAAATAACTGCTGAAATGTTTATTCATATTTTAGTGTACAAACACGCGTAGTACGCACAGACAGAGCTGTCCCTGGGCTTCGATGAACTACTTCCCGATGATCTGCAACAATAAAATAATGACTGTAATCCAGATCAGCAAGATGATTGCAACAGATGCTGAAAGGTGAAATGGGGCAACCGTTTAATGTCACGTTCACGATGCTTGTACTTATATAGCGACGTGCATGCACGTGTGTGTGTGTGACTGCTTGCACTAGTCCGGACTTCTGTCGGCTTAATAGTGCAAGCCTAGAGCAACGGAGATACCCCAATCAGAAACATTATACTACGAGCCGACCAGACTTTGTTTTACCCGCTTAAAGCCGAGCGCCAGGCAGGATACCATCTTTCAACGTATTTTGGTATAACGCGGCCAGGGGATCGAACCGCTGACCTTCCGGTCTCGCTATAACACGTTCAGGTCTCGAGTAGTACTCACCAGATCCCCACAACCAGTGCAGGTAGGACAGATGTCGCATAGCTTGGCGTCGTGGAGGGCCGAGGACAGATAGAACACACTCTGCTGATTCACTGCGACAAGATGACATTATCAGAGACGTTCAAGCGTTTAATTTGACCAAAGATACATACATACATGTAGATTAGGTTAAGCCGTTTCAGGATCCGTTGATCGACTTCGAATGGTCGCATCATGGTCTTATTGCACAGACGATCGTTTAGCAGGATCGAACTGAACTAAAGTGTCTGACTAGGACCAGGCAAATTAGCAGTCCTAGCGTGTGTGAATCAGGTCACTCAAACAACAAGTAATTCGCCTGCTTATCAAATTTTTGTTTTGTATCGATCTACCATTAAATAATGTGCCATCACAGACATAAGGCAAACCATTATGCCCTAAACTGAATACGCGCTGCTGATTGTGGAGGCTGGTCTTCATTTAATATCTCTTTTTAAATAATAAATACAATGTATATCAAAGTATAAATCATAAAGGAAGATGTAATTGTAATTTATGATACCGATTTATTGAATGATAACGGGGGCACGGGTGCCCAGTTGTCTACAAGGCACATTTCATTGTGCAGTTGCCTCCCTTGTGAGAAGCCTATGATTGTTTGTTCGAATTCCAGATTCGAACTGATTAAGTGTTTTGGTTTGGCAGCACCATACCCCTCCTGGTGGGGTTCATGGAAATGGTAAACGCTGAGACCTGCATCACTTCGGACTTTCCTCCCACATGAAGCAGACGCGCCGTCATATAACTGAACTACTGTTCAAAACAGCTACTTACTCAGACTATCAAATCCTTATCAATCTGTTGAAGCTTTGGGTCGACGACATTATATACCTACCGGGATTGTAGTAGTCAAAGACGAGTACTTGGGACTTCTGGGTCTGGACCGTCATCCCGACTCTGTTGGCTGTGACATCCACGCATAGAGGACTGCGCCCGATCTAGGTCATATGGCACAATGGCAATCAAACAGTACAGACAAGATACTTTGTGGATGATACCTTCTTTATTCTATTGTGATGCTTGACTCTTGCTTGACAACGATAGAATGATCTACCGCGAAAGAGTCTTGCTTGACAATGGTATAAGGATATATACCGAAAGATACGACGACGGCCTGTAAATAATCGACCCTGGACTAGACAATCCAGTGATTGACATTGTGAACGGGTTACGCTGTCGGGTAAGATGACACGCAAACAACCAGGTCTCCGAGCTGCCCACCCACCAGTCAGTATACATGTAGGTTACTGGGGGACCGTCTCTAACACGGAAACCATGCAGGGGTCCTCACGTGCACGTAGTACTCCGACAGTTTTTCATTTACATAAAAATAACTGAAGAAGTGTTCATAAGAGGCGTTAAACCGAAACACATTCACTTATATTCTTATATCGGGATTCGCATTTCAGTGCTATGTAAATCATATCTTTAGTAATATTATATTTTATATTTGATACTATACCAAACAAAGAATCATACATATTTCTGGAGATATTTTTATGAAATTGTGTGCCAGCCGTCCCTGCAAAAAAAATATTCCCAAACATATTCATGATCCCTAACGTTTTGTTAAGTATAATATAAATATAACGTATTTTAAACTGCTTACTTAAATGGATGTAGCTTTCTCCATTTTTAGATAGCAAAGGCACAATGGTTAAATGTTCCGGCGGTGATTTGTAATCTAGCACAAGTATATGCAGACGGACGCTGTTCCGAAAGAGGTCAACAATATCACAGACAACAGTTAAAACCACAGTTACAGCACTGCTGTTGACACATGCATTACCTTTGTAACTTTCTTTTATGCAAGAGTGTTGTAGATTAAGAGAATAAAAGTTATATATCACCTGTTCAAAGTAGATGTCAACAGTTCCTGATTTGTATTCCTTCTTTTTGAGACCGTTGGTTTCTTTGATGAGGCTGACGTCGGGTTCGAAACCAGTTGGAATACCCACCTGGATAACGGCCATACCACTTGAGTCTGCCAGCTTCCAGCTGTGGAAATGTAGAGTCTCAAAGTATAAAGTTTTGTTTTACGAACATCACATAAATATTCATGTTATACATTTCATAGTTGACCGTTTATTAGAGTGTTAAAAATAGAACATATTCTAAGAACTGCTTAGAATAAAATATATAAGCGGACGTGAATATCGCCCAGTCATCTAAACACGGGATATTTAATATTTTTTTGTTTCTAGTTTAACGCCGCATTCAGCAATGTTCAAGCTATATGATGTCGATCTGTAAATAATGGAGTCCAGTGATTGACAGCATGAGCATGAATCTATGAAAAAGGGTCAGATGACATGCATCAACGAAGTGAGCGAGCCTGACCCCCGATACCTCATTTTAGTCGCATCTTAGGACAAGCATGGACTGCTTAAGAACAACTCTAACTCTAACTCGGTGTGAGTGAGTGAGTGAGTGAGTGAGTGAGTGAGTGAGAGTGTGTGTGCGTGTGTGCATTCGAAGCTGTGATAGTGCAACCTACTACTACTACTACTACTACTACTATAGTATTAAAATTACTATCGGCGCACTACATACGTGCAATTATTTATACATTAACACGCCTTGAGTGGTCCCATTATCGGTGAAAAACATACCAGATACGGGAGATAAAAACAATCAACTCTCAACAAATAATTTCAAGATGTAGCCGATATATTTCGTACAGCATAAACGGAAAAAGTTTCAGATTTTAGCGAAATATGCAGAGGGAACATCGTTACCTGGCGCATACATGTACCGTTATTGACTGCACGCTTTCTTTGATTACAGTAGCGGTGAGATCAAACGCCGCATTGCCATCAGCTGCATCAACATTGTAGAAAACTGCCACCTGTAATCATAGTGTGCACTGGTATGTACATCTCAGACTTCCGCAATAACATAACGAAATGACGCAGGCGTATATCAATTGTATCTATCACCAATAGTGGTGCCATACCCAATTGTCGTCTTGTTTTTCGAACGCTCCCACCCTAAAATGTGTATGAGATGAAGCAATATGAAAATATGCCTATTTTGAATATTTTTGTTGTTACTTTCATTATAACAAGAAGACATAAACCTCAAATCCCTTCTTACACCCTTTCTCCCTTTTTGTCAACTGCATCTTGTCATATCAACGATAACAAACCTATTTGGTATGAAAAAAACTCAGTGAAACTATTAAAGTGTGCATAATTATAATGCACGAACGTTATTAAAAGAACGCATTAGCAAAATATTATTCATTTCTTCGAGTGGAAATTACTTGCTTAGGAGTGATCGTATTCAGTAGACCTAAACATCGTCATCTAAATGTGGAACCAACTTCACATACGATCACATGAAAAAACATGCTCTTTGACATGATTGTACTTCATCCGTGAAGAGTGGCGAAAAAGTTACCTCAACAACACCAAGTCCCGAACCAGATGCTGTTATATTCACTGAACCGCTGTCAACCGGCAACTGTGTTATGCAAAATATACAAAAGTATTATTAACAAATATATAAATCGAAGTTAAAAGTCAAGGCCATGAAAATATGACTTATTAAACATAACAAAATATTTATCGTTTCCATTAAACACAGTGGGTGAACACATGCTTTGGTGTAGTGTAAGCTGTTTTCATCAGTTTCACAGACAGCCGAGTGGACTATGGTGTCCCCGCAATTCACTCTGCAGAGTTGAGCCCCTTAGCTGTGCAAGGATCCTTCATCGCATTCTAGATTCGCGTCGATTACAATCTTTGTCCTGTCAGCACCCTGCGTCCCCTGGTTTCAAGAGTTGTAAATGATCTCTGTGTTCTGGCTGGTCACTGTATTAGTAACTTATATAACTAACTCATATAGCTGAAGTATTGTAGTTCAAAGGCGGCATATATATCAAAACTCACTAACTTCGTCCAGGATTTTAGATTCACACCGATTATGAACCGTAGTTTGTCTGCACCATGTCCATCTTGCATGTTTAACCATGTTTAACCAAAGATAAAAGATGGGCCTTTCCTCCGACATAAAGATGAAACGATGTGATATAAAATTAATGAAAACCTATTCAAACCTATCCCAACTCACTCACCTCAACTTCGTGAAGGACATTAATGTTAGAGTCATCTATCTGGAAGTTCTTGCTGAAGCCAGTGGTCGCTATGGTTGCAGCGATGTGGACGTGGTGCGGCGAGGACGGGGACGTGGCCTGGTGTAAGGCAGTGTGGAACTCAGACAGAGCTTTAAGAGCCACCACAGTGTCCTGCAGGTTAAGTACGGACAACCATTATGTAAGCACTCTCTATAAAACCGACAATATATCATATGCATGTTTTTATGAATCACTATCAAATAGTGATGATGCCAGGTACCCTGCTCCCCCGCTACAACGAACGTCAATTACCGACATGTTTTAATCCGCCATTGTAAAAGAAACAAAACAAATACAAAACTGATAGAAAAGGGCTGGTTGATTGAGCTGAGGTTAACTTGTGCCTTGTCACATGCTTTTCGTCGACTCGGAACAAAGCGTGTCTTTTTAGCTTCGAAGCGTGGTCGAAGGGATTTATTCTATTTTATCAACCAATGAACCAATCACATCTCATCATTCTGACATGGAGGTATGATACATCATTTTATCAAGATCTCGTGAACCAATCAGATCTCATCATTCTGACATGGTGGTATGATACATGATGTTATCACAATCACGTGAACCAATCAGATTTCATCATTCTGACATGGAGGTATGATAAGACACATTAGCCGTCTGTTGACAGCGCCAATAAATACAGTAAATCCCAATCAGAACATGATGCTAGTAACCAGAAAGTCCAGCAAACCCATTCAATTCCACCCTCAACCCCTTCTCATCTTTATCAGCTTATATTCATCCCATTCACAGAACAAAGAACAAGGGGCCGTGAGGGTTCCTTGATTTTATTAAACCGTATACATAACATTATTTCAGGGACTGTATGTTTGTCTAGTGACCTGACTCTGACCTGTGTTGACGTGAAGCCTCCATTGGGGTTCCTTTGTTGGACAATCCATTTCATGACCTTAAGTCCCTCTCCGAGTTCCCCCCTCGCTGTGTGGGCGAGGAGGGCGTAGGCGGAAGTCTCAATGTCTATAGGTCGACCAAATCTCTGTCCCTCCTTCCATGGTTCTCTTTTTGTGACAGTGGTAGTCTTACTTGCCGTCCAGTATTTTATTTGGCCTATAAAATAAGGAAACAATAATTTTATGGTACATTAGATTTCACTGCGATTGTGGAGCAATTAATATTCGCAAAAAATAATTGTTCATTAAATGTGTGTGGTTGATAAAAATAATATATGTTGAAACATACAGACGATACACATGCCAAATGGCTATGAATGTTAAAATATATTACTGAGCAGGTGAATATAACGTTTTGCACATGATGCAATTGTAAATAATATTGAGATTAACAAAAGTCAGACAAACATATATATTTCAAATAGCCTACAGGGTCAAGAGAAAATTTTCAAATTGTTGTTTAACGCCGCTATCAGTACTATTCAATCTATATGTCTATATTATACCCAGACGGCTTGGTTCGTTGTTCATTATGTCAACCACTGAATTGTCTGGTCCAGTCCCGATTATTTACAGGCCGCCGTCATATAGCTGGAATATTACTGAGTGCGGTTTTAAACAACAAAGAAAAACAAAACGATTTATACCACGAAATAATTGATTTCTGAATAATGATGAACGGCATTTGTCAAAAACATCAGGATATTTGTAAACCCAGTTCAGCAACTGATGAGATATGTATTTTATCAATGATACCGTCAATATGAGCAATGGCGTTCAGCTTGTTTACTAAAACGCTGCTGAAACTGGTTCCAGTAATGGTAAAAGCGTATGCTGTGAGAGCGAGGGCGTGGGCATGGTTGTCATCAAGGCTTGTGTATTGTTCCTGGAGATAGTGGAGGGCCAACTTGAGAGCATCTGCGAGGGATCTTCTCGTTTCCTGTAAACACATTGTTGAATACTTACATATTTGAAAAAATCAAATTGTGCATGTTTACGAATATACAGACTTACATAAAAGTAATAATATTTTTTTATTAAATTCAAAAATGTGTTTCATACTTACCCCTTGGAAGTTTTTACTAGCTTCCAAAGCTATTGTTATATAGGCAGTTAGAGCAACTGTTGATTTGGTTCCGCCCTGTGCCAACAAACAACATACATGTATAACGGTTAATTCATTAACAGTACGTTCAAATGTAGAGGGTGAACGACCCAGGCCGTTATGTCTGTTGTACTTTAAACATGACCGTCGTTTACATTGCATGCAAAACAACGAGGTTCGCAATTGTTAGTTTGTTTTGAAATCAAAATGAGCATAGTTGTAAAATATTAGAAGATAATGGCTCATCTGACTGTGAAAAGTAGTTGCATCATCTATGTAAGGTATTTATATATTTCCACCTGTACAAGCTTGAGCCCTGGTCATTGTGACATCTCAAGAAGTTGTACTTCGTAAGATGTCAAGGTAATTTCGGAGAAAAACGTGTATATTTCCGCGCACTATGTCATTTCCGCAGGTATATAGAAGTATTTGCATTTTTTTGCGTTTTGTTGTAAAAACTGACTGGCTAAACCATAGCAAAAAATGTATGAGATTTTCGTAACAAGCCGTTAAAAGTTATGATTGTGTTGTATGGTAGCCTCTTTTAATACATTAAAGTACGTCGTGGATAATTCACGTTTAATAACACAGGATTGTTTCCCTGATATAAACTAAAAGTGGCACCACGTATCACCTGCATGTCTTTGTGGTAGAGCGCGTGAGGTTCCCTGAAAGACCCATCACTATTCTGCTGACCCATCAGCCAATCCAATGCATGGATAATGATGTCATCGCTGACGTAAGTAAAGGATTTGGCCTCCTTGAACGATCCTATGACAAAAGCAGTCAGCCTGTGAAGAGAAAACAGGTGATAGATACATAGATAGAGATAGATGGAGATAGATAGAGATAGATAGATAAATATATAGATAGAGATTTAGAGATAGATAGATCGATCGATCGATAGATAGATACTTAGATAGATAGAAAGAAAGAAAGTTAGATAGAGAAAGAGAGATATATAGATAGAGATAGAGAGATAAACAGATAGATCGATAGATAGATAGATCGATAGATATAGATAAAGAGATCGATGGATCGATGGATCGATAGATAGATAAATAGATAGATAGATAGAAAGATTGACAGACAGAGGGATTGACAGATCGATAGAGAGAGATAGACAGACAGACAGCAGACAGATAGATACATCATTCATAACAATGCGTGACCTGATTTACAATGTATATCCGTGTCCGTGTCCTCCGTGGACCGTTCCTTTGTCTCGAGGACATAGTTTTGTCTGGTTCAGCCTCGAGTATTTACAGTATAGCAGTAATATTGATGAGTGAAGCAAGGGACACGCAGGCGGAGCCATATTAGAACTGTTCGTAGTGTGTTCACAAGTCTATCATGTGTAATCTTGGCTTAACTTATTTATTGCAGACTGAAACGCAACACCAGTCGCTCAAGTAGTTAAATTGACTAGGCACTGTTTTTCGTTAAAACGCTTCTTAAACGAGAATTGCGCGGACACAACACGTTCGTACTCCTACCCTCACCCCTTGGAAAGTCGAACCTTAATAAGATCAAGCTCAGATGACGGTATTCAACATTCACATTCTGTTCACAAGCATTTCATTCACAAAGACCAATTAGATCCTGTAGATCGCCATCAGTCCCCGGCATACTGCTGACAACGATTCCATGTCTTTACTTACCATGTACTTCCGATGGTATTCGATGTGAAGGTGGAGAAGGAGTCGTCACTAAGTTGATACGTCAGCTCGTGCTGATATCCTATGTACGAAGAAAACGTTAAATATTAATGTATGCTCTTCAGTTATGCTCCGGCGTACCTTCTTGTCTTCACCTCCGTGTCAAAATGCGGTTTAGAAGATGACGGATTATCGTCGTCATCGACTCGTCAATCAGAAATTTGAAACACTGAAGTCAACTACTGGGACATTTGTGAATGAGTTGAAGTTAACGCCATTTGTAACAATATTATACATTGTCAGGCAAAAGTAGTATACGCCTGTTTAATGGTGGCTAAAAATGAAACAAACAAGAAATGGTTATTCGATTGTAATGTATTTGATACGGGTATCACTCTTTGCAGTGTTTCTGCCACTGATTTTATAAGGTTTTGATAAGGTTTTTAATGTTTTGGACAAATCCAATTTTCAAGTGTATACTTTCTGTTGCCCGGCAGTTTTGTTATATCATGGCGTGTCAATTTGTTGTTGCAGGATCGCCAAACGTGGCGCAGGTCGTAGGCGCTAACTGTACTGTAAGCGGCTATCGTGGCAACACAAACTACATGGACAGAATTAATTGGGTAACGGTTATTTATTTCGCGTATATAAGGCAAATACGCAGTTTATCTGGAGCGTTGTGCATATATAGAAGATATCTGTACTGTGAGGTGAGGTGAAATTGGGTTTAACGTCGCGTCCAAGATTATTGCACTTATATAGCGACGTGCATGTACGTGTGTGTGTTTGTGTTGCTGCTTGTACTAGTCCGGACTGATACCAATTTATAGTGCTAGCTCACTGAGATACCATGCCGCAGTTTAACATGAATACCCCACTCAGACACAGTATACTGACTCCGAGCCGACCAGTCCTTGTTTTAGCCCCTCAATGCCGAGCGCCAGACAGGGTTACAACAAGTACCATCTTTTAACGTCTTTTGGTATGACGCGGTCGGGGATCGAACCCCGGACCTTCCGCTCTCCGGGCGGACGCTCTACCACTAGACCACGGAGGCGGTCTATCTGTACTGTATGTACAGTGACGTTTGTGCATGATTTACCTTCCTTGATATAGGCGACTATCTTGTCCTTGAGGTCAGCTGTCATCTGCCCTGTGGCCGTGAGATACTTGGCGATGTAAATGTCTGGAGACAGTCCGATCATCGTCTGCTCACCACACCCAGAAGGGTACGTCACTAGCTGGCCCAGACCATGGATGCTGGAAGCCAGGATCTCTCCTGGACGTGAACATGTGTAACAAATATCAATGATTGAGTGAGAACGGTTTTAATGCCGCAATGAAACCATATTCACAATGGTCTTCATACACCCGTATGGGGAATCGAACCCGGGTTATTGGCGTGACGAGGGAACACGTTAACCACGCGGGTAACCCGCCTCCAAAATCAGTGCAGGTAAAAGGTCATGTGAATAAAACAAGAGTCATCAGAAGATGACATACCCTATCGATCTGGTGCAATTCGGAAATGGAGTTTGGCAACTTATATCCCACTTTGGGTTCACTGCCATTGGATACCATCAGTTCAGTGAAGAAATAAATGCGGTTCAGTATCTTTCAAAATTCCAAGTCATCAAAATGCACCAATTCACCACTAGAATGATCTGTATAGCACGTTTCATCTAGAAGTGAGTGAGTGAGTGAGTGAGTATGGTTTTACGCCGCTTTTAGCAATATTCCAGCAATATCACGGCGGGGGATACCAGAAATGGGCTTCACACATTGTACCCATGTCGGGAATCGAACCCGGGTGTTTCATCTAGAAATGTTTAAAGGTTTTGAAGTTCTGCTCCGCAAACGAAATCCAGCCCTTTTGAGACTAAGATCAAATTGATTCCATGGATACCAAGAAAAATATAGATGCAAAAAATCCGCAAATAGCAAAGGGCACCACTCCAGGAACTGTTTGACATATCTGTCAATATTTGTTGAAAAATATCGAACGGTTTTCGAGTTGTGCTCTGGAAAGGAAATGATTACGGACGGACAGACGAGTAGATGATACCACGCTGAGGTCTGTCCAATGGATCAGGTATCTACACCAACAAATTGTGTTTGTTTGTTTGTTTGTTTGTTTGTTTGTTTAACGCCGCACTCAGCAATATTCCAGCTTTATGACGGCGGTCTGTAAATAATGGAGTCTGGACCAGACAATCCAGTGATTGGGATACGATGACATGCTTCAACCAAGTCAGCGAGCCTGATCACCCGATCCCGTTAGTCGCCTCTTACGACAAGCACAGTCGCCTTGTAGGGCAAGCATGGGTTGTTGGAGTCTACCCTGGATCTTCAGGAGTCCAACCAACAAAAGATAATGTGTTTACATGAAAAGAGAGTTACTTCTCTGATTGCTAAAAGCAAAGCCAGAAGTCGTCTTACCCGATAATTTGGCTTTGACTTTCACTGACCCTTTGATCACGGAAGCTGGTAGAACGACATCAACTGCCGTCGATAGGGATGAGGCGGCGTTCAGGTCGATTACCACTGGGAAGTTATAGTGTTGCGGTGCCCCTTGTGGCTGTCCATCAAAATACCAATACAAACCTTTATAGAAGGTCCACGTTACCCCACTAATCCAACCATCTATAAAGATTCATCAGGACTACACTCCCGGGCAAAAGAAAGTTTACACTAAAATCATGATCTTGATCAAGACATTACCTGCTTGACTCTGGTCATTACTGTGTACTATGAAATTTCGTTACCGTGTTCCTTCAGACGTCATGTGCACGTCACCTGTTGTGAGACAGTCATTGATATGATGCATATCCATTTCTTGTTGTTTCATTTTTAGCCACCATCATAGATGGATGTATACTTTCTTTTGTCCCTCAGTTTACCTGGATTCTAAACGAAAGATACCTGCTGGAGGTGATCAGTGACTTTTCGTGACAGTGAGCATGGGCGTTGTCGTCCTGAAAGACAACACATCGCCCCACACGACTTGCAAACGGGACTGAAGTCTCAGGTTGACATTGATTTGACGTTCATTTCGACCGTGCCAGACACGTCCATCTCTATCAAGAAAGTGCAAAGTGAATTGGTCACGTGAAACGGGACCGGCGACGATTACCCCAGTTTCGACGTTGTGTACACGTCTGTTGGCAATAGGACGATTTGTGAGGGGCGGCACAACACGTGGCCGTCGAGTATGGAGATAAGATGCATGTACACGATTCTTAATCGTATCTTGTACTAATGTAGCCTGAAGAAATTTGATTGGCCGTTTGAGCTCGATTTCGGTGAGCCTGGTTTCGGATAAATCGATCCTATACCTTGAGGCCTTGAACAGAGGGATAAATTATCCTGTAAATCCCTAATCCACAATGACTTGACATTGAGTTCATCTGGCTACTTGTCACCTAAATACTTTGACCACTGTGTGCAGAAAAGGCAGCGCACGATGACAGATTTTTGAAGGGACATTCCTAGTAAGTGCAATGTGTGCTTAATGCAGTTTGTTATTTGTTGACTTGTATCATTAAATCTAATTACGAAATAATGATTGTAATCCTCATGACTATTATTTCAGTTATTAAATGTGTCATATCAATGTACACGCGTGTAACAATGCATAAAGAACGTGTTGAATAATATTCAATAACGGCTCGTGATTGGTAAACTAGAGAACCTGTAGAGGAGTTATGTCTTCATTTTGTATAATTTACACTAATTTCAGTGGTCAACTCACCTTTACTTGTATTTCTTTAACAACGGTATCCCGAACGTTGCTAAGTAAGCCTATAGCGGTTATTTTCACTGTCACTGTGCCAAGTGTTGTGAAGGATGTAGGAACGGTAAATGACAAACTCTCGCCATGTTTGATCTGCAATATTGATGTATGCGTTCATTTCGACCATTGTGTGTAAATGAATCATTGATCACCAGTGCAAACAAATAGTGTGTCATTCCACTTACAATGAGTTTTTTTTCTTTAACTGACTATTAACCAAAGAATCAGCGCTTATTAGCTTACATTAGAAATGCACTGTTACCTCATGTTTTGATCACAATTATCAATAGCTTACCAGATTTTGAAACAGTTTCTTATTGAGCATATGTACCTGGCCATTTCTGTACACCTTATCTTGGCTCACGGAGTTTTCAATGATAAGTGTAATCTGAAAATCAATGAAAAAAAGATGAATGTAAGTAAAATATTGTATCTTCTAACACGCGTTTTAAACGGCTACTATATATTATCAATAGTTTTTAGATGCTGACCATTAAACACACTTTATTTGTTTTAATTCCATATAAATTAAAACTAAATGTTTGCATATTTTGATCTGCAAACGTTGAATTGTCATGGGAGGGTTTCAAAAATCAATTCATACGTTGTGTTTAACAGTTACTATTCTTTAGAGGTTTGTATGTTATCACATATTTACGAATGTGACTTGATAATATAGAGTTATTTTGAATTTGAAATACATTGAGGCCACAAGCACATCATACACCGAAATCCATGGGTATTATAGCATATGGGCTTACGTGCACTACGTTTCTTACCGGAATTTCCGATCCCATGTAGTTGTAGACAACAGGTTGAAGAATGATCTTTTCGCCGAATATAATATGATCGGGTGTGATGAGGGACACGAAAAACTTTAAAGATGAAAGAATCTGAAACAAATTATAATTATTCAACACCTAAGACCTTATTATCAGCCGCGCCCGATAGTTAAGATTTAATTACATAATGGAACAGCAATGATATTATGTACAACCAAAAAAAGAAACGCATATCTGGTTTTCAAGACGTTCATTCTGTGACTTCTACAAGGCTTTAAAAGCGATAGGTTGGGCATGTGTGTTTGGAAGATTACAAAGTGAATCAGAGTATACCTTACGTAAGACCCGTGAAGATCAGGGTTACAATAGGTCTTCAGCAGCCCATGGTTGCCGTAAAAGGCGACTCTGATTGTCGTAAGAGGCTACTAACGGGAACGGGTGGTCAGGCTCGCTGACTTGGTTGATGCATGTCAACGTATCCCAATTGCGTGGATCGGTGTTGATGATGCCAATCACTGGATTGTATGGTCCAGACTCATTTACAGACTACCGCCATATAGCTGGAATATTGGTGAGTGCGGCGTTAAACAACAAACAAACAAACACCTTACGTTAACGGAGATAGTTTTGCGACTGCCTGTTACACCATTTTTCTCACGCACAGTCAGTCGTACCGTGTCCATTATTGGCACAAACGACTGCGCAACACCTCCTGCCCATGGAACCAAGAAGCATGCTGATGACATCTTAAGAAATGGCAGCCCACTCTTCCCGAAGAACGTGGCATAATCGTGGCAGATTCCGTGGCCCAGGCTGACGTTGGCATTCTGTGTCGGACTTGCACATCCGACAGATGCTCAATCGGGCCAGGCTGAAACATGATCCCTGGTGCGTGCAGAGCCTGGTTAACGTAGAATGTCCTCACGTTAACGCATACCTGTTTAGTTCCCTGGACATGAACATGATCTGTTCTTCGTCTATAAACGATGGCTCCCCACATCACGACACTTTGTCCACTGAATTTGTGACTTTTTGTATGCAACATCCGGCATGGGGCTCATTCCGTCGCTGATAGCAATGGATTAGATAGGAACATGGACATGGAAACGGCTTTTCAATTTCCAAAGAAAACGAATCATGCAAATGTCAAGGGCAATCGATGTTTACTCTATTAAAGGAAAAAGTGAGTGAGTATGGTTTTACGCCGCTTTTAGCAATATTCCAGCAATATCACGGCGGGGACACCAGAAATGGGCTTCACACATTGTACCCTTGTCGGGAATCGAACCCGGGTCTTTGGCGTGACGAGCGAACGCTTTAACCACTATGCTACCCAACCACCCCATCAAAGAAAATAAACAGTTTCGTGAAACCTTATCGTTAAAAAAGAACATGTACATATTTTTTAACTGAAAGTCTAGCCTGAAAAATTACCCCATCCTAGAATTTTAATTTTGAAAATATACTTACTACCTTTGCGTTTCTTTGCTTGGAGAGTATATATATGAACGTATCGATATCATTTTGTGTATTATATAGGTGGGTACCTCATTTAAGAAAGTTCGGCTGTCTGTTCGTATATGTAGTTTACTGCGCTTTACATTACATGCATGTAGTTAATGCTCAAAAGAAGTACCTTTACAAATCCAAGCATGAATTGGGAAAATACTTTATTCTGATCGGTCAATCAGAGGTTTACATCAAAACAACCACCTCTGGCTGAAACAGACGACTTGACGCTCATATGACTAAATATTTACGTAAACATACATCTTTCTCAATCATTTTTGGTACGGATCGGATGGATTTTTGTATGGGGGCTCTATATTCTGTCAGCAACAAATGCAGAACCAGATATCTTATTAATTAACATTTGAGCTTAAATATTTCTTGAGAATATACATCTTTCAGTTATGTATTTTTTTGTTTCTGACAATTTCCTTTTTTTAAGAGTCTGAAGCATAATTTTCTTTTCAAGCTTTTTCTGGGACAATTGATTTCACTCGATAAAATCCCAGGCCCACTTCCCATCACCACCCTCCACCAAAGATCATGGTAAACGTCTGAGACCTGCATCACTTCGCGCTTTCCTCCCACATTAAGCTGACACGCCGTGATATAACTGGATTACTGTTAAACCAAACTCACTCACTCACGAAACATCAAATGGTCGGCCCCTAAAGTAACTTTAAGCATACCTCGGCGTATCCTGATGTGATACTTAGTCCATATGTTAAGCTCATAGCAAAGGCACTCGCCACCCAAGTCGTCACCGTGTCCCCAAGACGAACGGGGATGTCCACAGTGCCCGTCGACCTAAAACAGAGGTATGTCACGAGCATGGGCATCTATCCACGCTTTGTAAATTTTATCATTAGTAATTGAAAGTTGTCTTAATTTATCAAACTATTTATAACAAAGCAACTTGACACTAACTGTTTTTCATATTAATAATATAGAAGCTAATGCGATGAAAATGCTATGCTTAATTCAAATAAAAAAAGCGACAAAACGCTTTCAATAATCATAAGAAATCGTAGAGCCCATTCTACGATTCCAACTATATCATAAGCATGTGTTTTTTTATCACTATCAAATGGTGATTATACCAGTGTCAGGGTCAAAGTCAATTGATCAAATTGTTTAAAATAATGCAATGTAACTTCTACTATTAATTAATAATAATTCGACAATTTTTGAATATAGTATTTTGTATTAATAAAAATCACCTAAGTGAACATGTAAATATTCCTTATTGTAGATTACGGCCTATGTGTGAAGGTAGGTTATTAATACCAATACTGAACAGGAAATGTATTTAACTTGTTGGGCTGAAAAACAAATATTCCCTCAATCCCGTTCCCGGAACTATTAATGAGCTTTGTTCGAAGAGGAATATTATTAAAGAAAGCAGGAAAGGTGAAATTAACCAGAGGAAGGGGAAATGTTCCGAAGAAACACAAGGTAGGATTTGATTTGACTGCTTGTTGTTTTACGCCGCACTCAGCAATATATCAGATATCTGATGGCGGCTTGTAAATAATCGAGTCTGCACGATCCATGCTGTCAGGGCACGATGACATGTAATCAAATGAATCACCGAGCCTGACCACCCGATCGTTTGTGTCTTATGTTACGACAAACAGGTTGCTGTGGACCTATATTCTACCCTGGACTCCCCACAGGGTTATAGGATAAATAAGTAGAGAGAAGATATTAAGGAAGTTATATAGACTAACCCGAGAGTGGTATTGGTCCACAGCAAGGTATCCATGAAGTTGGTCCGCGACCTTGTCTTGCCCAAGAGGACATCCCCAGTTGGGGGATGCAAGGTAACACTTGGAGTCATAGTTAGCGATGCTGTTGGAAGTCCAGATTGGCCATGCCATGGAAACGCAGCGGTTGGCGTTCCACTTTTCTGAGGCCAGCCAAACGATGCGGCTGGAAGTCCAGTTTGTCCTGGGATGGGGCTTGCTGTTGGAAGTCCTTTGGAAAGAAAACATCTTTACAGAGTCAGGTATTTCTATTGTTTCATGAAATTAACTGCAAGTATCTCCAGAGATTACTTCCCCTGTATGTAAAGATAAATGGGTTATATCTACCAAGGGATGATAAACGGATATCCCTTGACGTTGGTTAAAGTGGTACAAGTTAAATTAGTGTCAACTGTATGACTCATCTGTTACATTTGTTAACATGCTATTACTCTATGATCAACAAGGACAAACTGACTGGTCATCTTCTGTTAAGCATCAGCTTTATTCATGTGGTTATGGTAACATATGGACAGAACAGGACACGTATATACCAGATCATTTCATGGATGCTTTTACTCAGACAATGAAAGATATGTTCATTCAAAATTTTCATTTTTCCTTATCCTAATCCAAGAAACTATCAAGTTATTATCTTTTTAAATACTTAAATACTAACTTAATGTATTTCTAAAAACATTCCGAATTGCACATGCAAGATTCAGATGTGATTCACACGAACTCTATATCGAGACGGGAAGATATATGGGGATCGTGAGAGAACACAGCATTTGTCAGTTTTGTGATTTAAACACTGTCGAAAGTGAGAACCATTTCTTACTACTTTGTCCGTTGTATGCTGAACTCGGAAAACAGTGAATTGATAACTATCATATCCGTTATCCAAGTTTACAGAAATTTGTTTCGTTAATGTCAAGTAACAATGTAGTAATAACGAAAAAACTGTCAATGTACATATTGCATACCACGAGGCTAAGAAGCTCCAAATGTGTTACCTTGTAAATGTATATACACCCATTACAATATTACATGCATTATAGGCCTATGGTCTATCAGTATTATGAATAATTACATATTAAGACTCATTTGTTGATTCACAGACATACTCTTTTTAGTTCAATATTGTACTGGTGGTTAATTTACGACCAGGTATTTATAGTAGTTTCACTAGGATATCGTATTTTAAACTCTGTAGTTTTATCTCACCTGTGAAAGATTCACAGTTCCTTCCAGTGTTGGACCTATAGCAAATGCAGGTGTACCCGAGTGACGTCATCTGACAGGTGCCTCCGTTTTGACAAGGTCGGGAATAACAGTCTAAACCCAAAATACCACAGAGAGTCAGCAAAATGCAATCGTTCACCTGTGAGAAATTTGTTCCTGAAAATAACTTGGCCTCAGATTAAAACAGATTATTGTTCGTTTGGCATGTTGGACACTAGTACACTGTAAAAGTAGATGGCTGGACATGTTGGATATATTGTAAATATTGTTCGCTGGACATGTTGGATATATTGTAAATATTGTTCGCTGTACATGTTGGCTGTGTTGTTAATATTGTTCGCTGGACATGCTGGATATATTGTAAATATTGTCCGCTAGACATGTTGGATATATTGCATATATTGTCCACTGGACTAATTGGATATATTGTAAATATTGTCTGCTGGACATGTTGGATATATTGTAGATATTGTTTGCTAGACTAGTTGGATATATTGTTAATATTGTTCGCTGGACTAGTTGGATATATTGTAAATATTGACCGCTGGACATGTTGGCTATATTGTGTATATTGTCCTCTTGACTAGCTGGATATATCGTAAATATTGTTCTCTTGACATGTTGGATATATTGTAAATATTGTTCGCTGGACTAGTTAGATATATTGTAAATATTGTTCTCTTGACATGTTGGATATATTGTAAATATTGTTCGCTGGACTAGTTGGATATATTGTAAATATTGTTCTCTTGACACGTTGGATATATTGTAAATATTGTTCGCTGGACTAGTTAGATATATTGTAAATATTGTTCTCTTGGCATGTTGGATATATTGAAAATATTGTTCGCTGGACATGTTGGCTATATTGTATATATTGTCCGCTGGACTAGTTGGATATATTACAAATATTGTTCGCTGGACATGCTGGTTATGTTGTAAAACTTGTTGTTACTTAAGAAAAATGAATTGTAGGTATTCATGAGCGAACCGAAAATTAAATATATACTCAATGGTCCCACCCTTCATTCAAGAATATTAGGTTTACATGTACATCCTCAATACCCCCAAAAAGAAGTTGTTTTATTATCCATGAATGGAGTCTACTTTGTTATCCGTCAACTTCTAAGAAATGCCCTTTAAACAAGTTAATATAGTTTTCATAACAACTCTGCCTCTATGTTTGTGTTGCTTAGCTCAGATGTTTACAAACGAATACATGTTTACCTGTAACCACCTCACAGTTGTCGCCAACGATGTATTGAGGACATTGACACCTATGCCCCGACGGAAGCACGATGCAGGTACCGTTGTTCTGACAGGGCTGACGGAAACACTCTGGAATGATGATTAAATGATAAGACTATTGGGAAAGCGACCAATGGTTAACGTCAAAATTAGTTTTGTCTTCAATACATGGAAACGTGGATTCTTCTTGGAAGGGAAATACGTGAGCCTTTTCGGAGAAAAATAACGGTTTTGTTTCATTATATTTGTCAAAATGGACTCCAATCAACACATGCTCTTGCTATGCTTCTCACTCAGACACTTGATGATGGCAAAAACACTGATGACAAAGGTACAGAAAGAAAGAAAGAGGAAGACACAGAAAGTAGAAGATGACATCACACAAGAACGGTACACAGGTCCAAAAAAGCCACACATGCCCAAGGACTCCACCATGAGGACAGTGTTACCACTGACAATTTTAGCCATGCAGGTAGTCTCAGCATCACGTGCAACTGTTAGGGATGTTCACTTCTTGTCTGAAGTTGTTCAAGACACATCCTGTCCAGAATGGAATGGATACAATAGTGCCCTAAACAGAAAAGCGGGTCAGACAGTGAGATCAAAAACAACATCAGTTTACACGCCTTTGATAGACATGAAACCGGCTGACCCTGACACCATTTTAACTGCTATGAAGGAAGCTGACAGATTAACTAAACAAGTTGGACAAGATATTGTTGTTTTCACATGTGACCAACAACTGTACAGGGTGGCAGTTCACATTTCATGGGCATACCCAGAAAGATTTCATACTTTCTTTCTGCGTCTTGGAGGAATGCATTTCCTTATGAACTTTATTGGATGTGTTGGCACACTGATGGCTGGAAGTGGACTGTCAGACATTCTTGAGAGCTCTTTCGGAAGTGTAAAAAACATGATGTCAGGAAAAAGATACCCTCAAAACTTACGAGCGTTAAGAATTCTTGTTGAAGAGCTATTAAGGAATGTGATAACAGAAGTATCCATGCCAGGAGACTTATTGAACATCTTGGAAGGCAGAGCAAGACATGCCAGAACAACGCGACTGTGGTTGGATATGCTAATCAAACCAGTTTTGCTGATGCTACAGTTTGTCCGAGCTGAAAAAGAGGCTGATTGGCCACTCATGATGCCATATTTCTTTGCTGCTGGACATCAGAACTATGCTCGCTATGGCCTCTATTATCTTAGAACAGCAGAAGATCTAAATCCAGAACTACTTGAGAAGTTTCTCAAAGGGGAACACGTCACGCGTCATACACCTGGCACTTGGAACGGAATATGGACAGACATGATGATTGAAACTACTTTCATGAAATATGGAAAGGGTCCAGATGGATGCAAAAGATCGGGAAAACATTCGAAAGAAGTTGCAAGAGTCAAGTGATCCACTAGACGTATCGCAACTCCCTACTGATTAACTTCTGCAGGTTGTGAGTGGCAGATTTGCAGACAGTACTGTGAATTTTGATAAGGCATTGGCAGTGGGTCAGAAAGATATGGAGAAATTTGAAAGGTCATGGCCAGATGGATTTCATAGGTCCTTGTCAAAGAAGATAAAGACTATGGCTGTCTTATAGAATCATGTTCAGATTGGATCTGCCACGTTATATGACACAAATCTGATCTACTCCAGAATCATTGGACTTCAGGCCTCAGGAAGAGACATCAACATTGCTGAGGTCTTAAAGTTTGAGTTGGCACCAGTGCCTACTTCTATGTTTACAGATGCATACATTCATACATTTCTCGGTCGGAAGAGAAATCGATAGATATATATCACAATAGAATAACTATAGATATCACAATGTCATCAGCTTTATATTCACCACACTCTATGCTTAGCTGTGACGGCGAAGCACAACACTTTGGTGTCTTATGAAAACAGTTTTCAATATCAGGGTTGATATGGCGTCACCTACAAACTTAAAGGATAATTTTCTTTTGTATGCCGAATAGAAGGTTCCTACCCACCTGTGACATGTTCACAGTTTGTCCCGGTGATAAAGTGAGGGCAGATACAGGTGTACCAGGGGTCATACTGGATGTGCTGACATGTACCGCCATGTTGGCAGGGGTAAAGGCGACAACCTGGGCGTGACAACATACGACGATGGAATGAAAAACTAACATATAATGTATGGACATACCATTACGCATATCCATGTATATAACCACATGTATGGACATACCATTACGCATATCCATGTATATAACCACATGTATGGCCAAACCATTACGCATATCCATGTATATAAGCACATGTATGGACATACCATTACGCATATCCATGTATATAACCACATGTATGGCCAAACCATTACGCATATCCATGTATATAACCACATGTATGGCCAAACCATTGCGCATATCCATGTATATAACCACATGTATGGACATACCATTGCGCATATCCATGTATATAACCACATGTATGGCCAAACCATTGCGCATATCCATGTATATAACAACATGTATGGACATACCATTGCGCATATCCATGTATATAACCACATGTATAGACATACCATTGCGCATATCCATGTATATAACCATATGTATGGACATACCATTACGCATATCCATGTATATAACCACATGTATAGACATACCATTGAACATCTAGATGTGAATAACCACATGTATGGACATACCATAACGCATATCAATGTATATAACCACATGTATTGACCATTTCGCATATACATGTATATAACCACATCTATGGACATACCATTGCACATCTAGATGTATATAACCACATGTATTGACATACCATAACGCATATGCATGTATTGATCAACATATGTTTGTGTGTACATGACAATTTGAATATACGTTTACCCATGATGCTCTCACAGTTCTTCCCAGTGACATCAACAGGGCAGTGACATGCGTAACCAGGGAGACTATCACTGCACGTGCCACCATTGAGACATGGACGGAAGTAGCATTCGTTGATATCTAAGACAGCAGCAATATTCAACAGATAACACATGAATAATATGTTTTTCAACAAGAAAAAGAAGATAATTTATCATGGCGTAAATATTGTTCCGGATAGCAAACCACGTTTCAATTTTTTAATTTACTGAGATTTTTATATCTCTTTATTTCCAGCAGAGGTGTGAAGTATGCTTATTAAGTCATACGCGTTTATCATAATTCAAAAATGACGTGAATGAAGATTACAGTATATATAGTATTTCATAGTCATGACTGCATGAGAAGTTTAAGACCATATTGTAACAATATTAAGATTGTATGTCTGATGAAACTAACCTGTTTGGCTAACAATAATCTGTATGCCCTCATGCTGAAATATTACAGTTCAAACACGCATAATGATTGTAAAATAAAAACTGAAAACATGTCTAAATGTTCAATTGTAAAGCCTTAAGCTGAGGGAAAAGTCGTTATGCATTCTCACACTATGCTATTCCATTTGGGTGTTACGTTTTGAGATGAAATATTATTATTACTGTTTTTGCCTCAGCTCTCTCTTGTCCACTAACAAGATTGACACTAGGCACAGATACATATTTCTTTGACATGTCCGACAAGGTATCATTATCTGTTTCTCAAAATTTATTTAATATACAAGATCGTGTTCATATATGTGACCCACAAAGAGGAAAGGGACCTTATGGACGCCAGGATACAATTGTGCTGTGACGGCATAAAGACGTTTAACGTCAGCTTACTTCAGTGAAGACCGCCATGTATGGTGACTGTACAAAAATATCTTATTTTCATCTTGTTAGTTCGTAATGTAATAAAAAGTATTACAAACCCTTTTATCATACATATCTGCTTTCAATTCATCAGACATTAAAACAAAAACTGTATTGATTGTGTACACATTTATAATGTCATGTATCTCAGCAGTAAATATGAATAAAAGCTTGAGAACTGTATTTGTGTGTGCCGAAGATACTGCGGTTTTAAAATATAATAAAAAGTCAAAATGTGATTTATCACCCATAACGTCTCTTATGTCCCTTACCGCCTCCGCCAGGAGAAAGCGGGAGGTCCGGGGTTCGATCCCAGGCCGCGTCGTAATAAAAGACGTTAAAGATGGTACTTGTTGTTACCCTGTCTGGCGCTCGCCATTAAGGGGCTAAACCAAGGATTGGTCGTCTCGGAGTCAGTATACTGTGTCTGAGTGGGATATTCATGTTAAACTGCGGCATGGTATCTCAGTGAGCTAGCACTATAAATTGGCATCAGTCCGGACTAGTACAAACAGCCACAGCCACACACACACGTGCATGGACGTCGCTATATAAGTGCAATACTCTTTGACGCGACGTTAAACCCCATTTCACCTAACCTCACTTTATCTCCTGGTGGGTCCCATATATTGCCTGTGCAAGTTTTAACCCATGAGGGTGAAACACATCCATGTTGAATTCTTGAACAAGTGGTGCGAATGTTTATGATGACGAACCGAAACACGATTCAGTGGAAGACATGGCTCCGGAATAGCCATCACAAATCTCCTGCGTTCAAACAACCTAAGCACTGACGCTTTTCATGTCCGAATTTTTTTACTCATAATATTCAAATATATTTAAACACGTTAATACAATATGAGACCGACTTAAGGTTAAGACAACGCCGGGTGAGGCTAAAGTCTGTTTACGTTTCCGAACATTAAAAACTTCAATTACTGAACCCTTCTGAGATCTTTCGTGAGGAGGAAAAAAACATTCAAGTCTTTTGATCAAGTTTTATATATTCTTCCTCCGGCACAAACCGACACAATGTGTATCTCAGGTCGGCGCCTGCCGTTTTGATAAATACTGAGGGAAACAAATAAGGGAACACCACTTTATCACACTTTTCCTTTATGTATTTCCAGATTTTCACCCACAGAGTAATTCAAAGCATGCGAAGAAACCTGGAAAAGAATAAAGGGACGTATACTTTCGTGTGTTCCCTTTTTTGTTTCCCTCAGTATATGTACACAAATGTGATGGAAATTGCGGTAAACGACCTCTTACCGTCAGCATATCATCCGTTGTTTTGCCATCCGGGGTGACGTAGTGTTCCAGCAATTTGTTGGTGTACTTAATAAAAGTGTTAAAGTTCCATTAAATTGTATGGTAGCAGGAGCTGTAGCAGCAATTGGTCAGAAGCTGTAGTAGTGATATTGCAGATCTTCTGGTGGTGACAAATCAACGTCCAGGTACGTACAACCTACTCCATAACCATATTTGCTGTTTAATAAAGATTTTCTTAAACGGAAGTTTCGTTATTGTCGTACTGCTTCCATTAATCGTATCGTGAAATTACCATGGTATCACAGAACTATACACTTTTCATGAGCAAACTTATGTCAATACAAAGGGAAATATATGAAATAAGTATTCACTAGCTTTCTAATATATTAACTTCCAGAAATCTAAATAGAATAAGAATTCTAATTTCTTGTCATTAACTTACTCTTGATCGTGTCATTTCGTTATTATTGCCCAGGATGAGAACGCTCTTGTCGACAGCTGTGACGTATATGGTAGCCCCCGCAGGGCCGTTAGCTTGGAGGTTGACGTTGTCCCCGGGACGAGTCTGACTCTTACTGAACTCCACCTTCAACTGAGTGAGGGAGTGAGTGAGTGAGTTGGTTGAATACCGCTTTGAACATTGATGATTAAGTTATACCTCGACGTGTCAACGTTATGTGGAAGGATACCCCTGACGGTTATGGTGCTCACAAAGCCATCAGCGGCGTCTCAGGCGACTGTACCTGTGCCACTCGTGCCCCATAAAGAGAATTATTTTCGCAAATCGCTGTGAGTGCAGCGTCTGTTAGTCGTGCCAGAAACCTATGATCGTGGGTTCGAGTTACAGATTCAGCATACCTGTGCTCGTTAGTTTCACAAAAGTGGTAAATGTCTAAGATTTCTTCCAACTGTCGTGTCGTGATGTAACTGAAATACTGTTCAAATCGATATTAAACCAAACTCATGTGTTCAGTGGTAGCTGTTGTTTAAACCAGCAAATATATTCAATTCATTGTTGTTTGGAACACGATATAAAAATACCAACCTTGTTTTTCGCAGAGTTGCCTACGTCAAATGACGTTATGTCTCCCACAGCTTCTCCGTCGTCAAGGAAGTGGTACACGAGGACATGGGCTCTGGGGAACATCAGCTGCGTCACAGGGATCGTCATCGTCGCCATGCTCTTGTTGTTGACATGAAATATCCCATCCTCCACAGACTCGTCTCGGACAAAGATCTGATAAAACATGTCTTAAACATGAATGTGTACCTCGTAATACTATATTTCACTGCACCCTTAAAACAGTGTCTTCACTCTGCCAGAGGCCAATTGTCATATTCCGCATGTAAACCACCAAACACATTTCTCAGGGATTTCTTACACTGTATGATATGCCCAATTGTGTAACTGATGGGCAAAAGACATTGTATTATCAAAGCGTTAAATGGAGACTAAACTCTAGCCAACATGCGGTCATAAAAAAATGTAATTGATTTATTCAAAACCCACTTTACTTGTCTGTAACTTAACTTTTATTCATTATATCAGTCTAGCAGTTTCATACCAAAATAACACAGAGACGTGACATATCTGACATAATGACTAATTGGTGTGATTAGATTTGTCCGCATTTAACATTCGACGTGCCGTTCCCATGATCAAGTTGCAGACTGAGGACTGAGGCCTGATCTATGTGTAGGTCTGTATTATGATTTTTATCCAGTCAATATGACAATAGATACGAGGTAAAATGGATACAAAATGTTGTCAAGGTTGAATGAGGTTAATTTCCTATTATTATCTTTCCAAACAAAACGATATGAAACTATAAACAGTTAACTTTGATTAAAGCATTAAAATAAATTAGTTCCATCTTCTGTACACTAACCTGGTAATGCAGATCTGGCATGGGCTTGTTTGATAGAACGGTCAGATTCAGGGACGTGCCAGCCTGCATAAAAAGTGCATAGGGTATTTTATGAGGAGGTGAGATAAAATGGAGTTTAACGTCGCGTCAAAGATTATTGCACGTGTGTAGCGATGTGATTGGCTGCTTGTACTGGTCTGGACTAATGCCTATTTATAGTGCTAGCCCAATGAGATACCATGCCGCAGTTTATCATGAATACCCCACTCGGGCACAGAATCCTGACTCTGAGATGACTCGATGTTCTAGCCCCTTAATGCCGAGCGCCAGACAGCGTAACAACAAGTACCATCTTTAAGCGTCTTTTGGTATGGCGCGGCCGGGGATCGAACACCGGACCTTCCGTTCTCCGGGCGGACGCTCTACCACTAGACCACGGAGGCGGTCCTGTTATGAGGAGTCTGTAGGCATGATTTAAAGGGTCAAGGAAACATGCATGCACACAAAAATGAACATGCAGTGCAGGCCAACCAACGATAAGAAGCAGAGAGAAACCAAACTATGAAATGTGCGCAATGATACTATAAATAGCAGCACAAATATCAAAGAAGACACGATCCCTATGAAGTTTCATCGTAATGATTAAAAAACACTACATATTCAATGGAACCAAACACAGTTAAGTGCGTCTGCACTCGGTTATTGCCGTCTGCGTGAATTACTTTATAGGGATCGTGTCTTGTGTGTAATGTTTGTGGTAATGTATTTAAATGGGTAAATATTCGATAGTTAGGTTTCTCTCTGCCGGTTTCTTTTGTGGGCCTGTAGGTTAGCATAGTGGTCATAATGTCGTTCGTCGAGCTGAAGGCTCGGGTTCGTCTTTCCCACATGCGTATACCATACCGCCTCACTGACAAACACAAACCTGCACATGCACACACCTTCACATGTACACACCTTCACATGCACACACCTTAACATGCACACACCTTCACATGCACACATCTTCACATGCACACAGCTGCACATGCACAAACCTTCACATGCTCACACCTTCACATGCACACACCTTCACATGCACACACCTTCACATACACAAACCTTCACATGCACACACCTTCACATGCACAAACCTTCACATGCACACAGCTGCAAATGCACACTACTTCACATGCACACACCTTCACATGCACAAACCTTCACATGCACAACCCTTCACATGCACAAACCTTCACATGCACAAACCTTCACATGCACAAACCTTCACATGCACACAGCTGCAAATGCACACTACTTCACATGCACACACCTTCACATGCACACACCTTCACATGCACACGCCTTCACATCCACAAACCTTCACATGCACACACTTTCACATGCACAACCCTTCACATGCACACACCTGCACACGCACACACCTTCACATGCACAAACCTTCACATGCACAAACCTTCACATGCACAAACCTTCACATGCACACACCTTCACATGCACACGCCTTCACATGCACAAACCTTCACATGCACACACTTTCACATGCACAACCCTTCACATGCACACACCTGCACACACCTTCACATGCACAAACCTTCACATGCACAAACCTTCACATGCACACACCTTCACAAAACTTCACATGCACAAACCTTCACATGCACACACCTTCACATGCACACACCTTTCACATGCACAAACCTTCACATGCACACAACTTCACATGCACAAACCTTCACATGCACACACCTTCACATGCACAAACCTTCACATGCTAAAACTTCACATGCATTAACCTTCACATGCACACATCTTCAGATGCACACACCTTCACACGCACACACCTTCACATGCACACACCTTCACATGCACAAACCTTCACATGCACACAGCTGCACACATTCTGTACCTGTATCTCATTCGTGACAGGGAGGGTTTCCAAGAAGTTGTTCGAGGGAGACATGAACGATCCTGGAAACAAACCTTTTGTCATAGTACCTGAAAATATGCCATCGTCAGTTGTCATTAAAATGAAAGACATCATATCAATAGATGTACAGATCGTTCAGAGAGGGCTCTACCATCTGACGATTCCAGCGTGTGCGGCATTGCACATTACAGAATTAAAAATGTTTGGACATTAAAGAACAATTAAATTATAACTCTAGATTCTGCTTTGTTATCGCTGTAGTCCCGACATCTCTCTCTATCCCCGCGAATGGGCGCGAATCATTCAACAGCACTGTAGTGGCTGAAGACTATGCGCATCCTACCCCAATATCCATAGAGTCTGTTCCACTTGGGATATCTATCTTGTGGTCATCAATGCCATTCGTTGAAGGCGTGAAGGACGTCTTTGTTGGCTCTCCGTTCATATAAATAGAAATCAGTGCTTTTTGGTCTTGAGATTTAAGCGGGCTTCCATCAGGTTGTGTAATGGTTGTCTGTATGAACAAAATCATCTGGTTAAAAACAGTTAAATACCAGTCATATTGTCTGCTTGTGGCGATATATTGATAGAGACATACGTTCAAACAAGAGAAAAGTTAAGAACCTGAAAGATGAACGGCAAACCAGGCTTGAAGTACTTGTGTGGTGTGGTGAGTTTCAAAGCAACCGAGGTGTCGTAGAGAGCAATAGATCCGGAACCGTTCATTGTAATCCCTGACTCTGTCACATAGGCGTCGATAATCAGAGAGTCAGAGGAAAGAGGTGCCCCCAGGGCTGACTCCATCTCATGGATCCGGGACATTGGGATGCTGAAGGCAGCCTCACCTGATGTTAGCTGCAATCATAATAAATCTTTTGACGTTATAGAAACAAGCTAATACTATCAATACTCTAAGATTAACACTTTTATGCGGTTTTTGTGGAAGGTTTTGTTTATATTCTAAATTGATAACGCCTCGTGTTTTACATGTGCATGTAGTTTATACTGGAAATGTAAACCGTCCTTTCTTATAAATATTATGTTGATGAAAACGTCCATTTATCTATAAATAATGGCAGGGCCCACGTGCATTTTGGGGTCCCTCTTTTATCAAAGGAAATCTGCGGCCATGGTATATTGGTTGGTCCCAGGACTGCAACAGACCGACTATGGACACGCTTCCTTGAACATCTTTTCCAAAGGTGTACCTGTAACAGTAAACAATATTTGTGTAGGACTGTCCCCGGTGCAATGAATATAGCATTTCATCTTGTTATACGGGGTGCTTTTGGAACATTGTAGCTTTTATTTACAAATGGCACTACTGCATGCGTGACACTATGGATGCTTCCTATACAGCGAAACCCTGTTACCATCTTTTACCGTCAGCCAACTATCACGCACCTTACTGAAACATTTATGTACAATAGTGAAACTCCATGTACCCTGTTGTAACATCAACGTAACTTGCTGAAACGTCCACGCACCTTTCTGCAACTTTACCATACTTTGCAGAAACTTCCACCTGCGTACCTGGTATAACGATCACGTAGTTTGCTGAATCAATCGCGTACCTTGCAGAAACCATCACGTTCTTTGCTAAAACAATCGCGTACCTTGCAGAAACCATCACGGATTTTGTTGAAACCTTCACGTAACTTGTTGAAACATAAACGTAGCTAACTGAAACCATCGCGCATCTTTCAGCAACTTTCATGTACCTTGCTGAACTTTCTCCTTCCCTGATTAAACCTTGACCTACCTTGTTGAAACATGACGCACCTTGTTGAAACATGACGCACCTTGTTGAAACCGTCAAGTACCTTGCTCAATCAAGCACGTACTTTGTTGAATATTTCACGTACTTTATTGCAGCCCTGGTGTATTGTGCTGACACTATCAAGGTCCTTGTTGAAACCTTCACGTATCCTGCTGCAACTTCTACATACCTAGCTTTACCGATCACGTACTTTGTTGAAACCTACATGTATCCCGCTGAAACCTTCACGTACCTAGCTTTAACGATCACGTACTTTGTTGAAACCTACGTGTATCCCGCTGAAACCTTCACGTACCTAGCTTTAACGATCACGTACTTTGTTGAAACCTACATGTATCCCGCTGAAACCTTCACGTATCTAGCTTTACCGATCACGTACTTTGTTGAAACCTACATGTATCCCGCTGAAACCTTCACATACCTAGCTTTACCGATCACGTACTTTGTTGAAACCTACATGTATCCCGCTGAAACCTTCACGTACCTTGCTGAAGCCTTCACGCACCTAGCTTTACCGATCACGTACTTTGTTGAAACCTACATGTATCCCGCTGAAACCTTCACGTACCTAGCTTTAACGATCACGTACTTTGTTGAAACCTACATGTATCCCGCTGTAACCTTCACGTATCTAGCTTTACCGATCACGTACTTTGTTGAAACCTACATGTATCCCGCTGAAACCTTCACGTACCTAGCTTTACCGATCACGTACTTTGTTGAAACCTACATGTATCCCGCTGAAACCTTCACGTTCCTAGCTTTAACGATCACGTTCTTTGATGAAACGTACATGTACCCCACTGAAACCTTCACGTACCTAGCTTTAACGATCACGTACTTTGATGAAACCTACATGTAACCCACTGAACCCTTCACGTACCTTGCTGAAGCCTTCACGCACCTAGCTTTACCGATCACGTACTTTGTTGAAACCTACATGTATCCCGCTGAAACCTTCACGTACCTAGCTTTAACGATCACGTACTTTGTTGAAACCTACATGTATCCCGCTGAAACCTTCACGTATCTAGCTTTAACGATCACGTACTTTGTTGAAACCTACATGTATCCCGCTGAAACCTTCACGTTCCTAGCTTTAACGATCACGTACTTTGTTGAAACCTACATGTATCCCGCTGAAACCTTCACGTACCTAGCTTTAACGATCACGTACGTTTTGAAACCTACATGTATCCCGCTGAAACCTTCACGTACCTTGCTGAAACCTTCACGCACCTAGCTTTACCGATCACGTACTTTGTTGAAACCTACATGTATCCCGCTGAAACCTTCACGCACCTAGCTTCACCGATCACGTACTTTGTTGAAACCTACATGTATCCCGCTGAAACCTTCACGTACCTAGCTTTAACGATCACGTACTTTGTTGAAACCTACATGTATCCCGCTGAAACCTTCACGTACCTAGCTTTAACGATCACGTACTTTGTTTAAACCTACATGTATCCCGCTGAAACCTTCACGTACCTAGCTTTAACGATCGCGTACTTTGTTGAAACCTACATGTATCCAGGTGAAACCTTCACGCACCTAGCTTTACCGATCACGTACTTTGTTGAAACCTACATGTATCCCGCTGAAACCTTCACGTACCTAGCTTTAACGATCACGTACTTTTTTTAAACCTACATGTATCCCGCTGAAACCTTCACGTTCCTAGCTTTAACGATCACGTTCTTTGATGAAACGTACATGTATCCCGCTGAAACCTTCACGTACCTTGCTGAAACCTCCACGTACCTAGCTTTAACAATCACGTACTTTGTTGAAACCTACATGTATCCCGCTGAAACCTTCACGTACCTTGCTGTAACTTTCACGTACCTTGCTGAAACCTTCACACCCACAGAAGAATCAGTCAAGAGGGCATATCTGGCTTGGCTTTCGAACTGAACGTTTACTTCAAATTTAGGTAGATCTGATAGTAAGAAAAATATGTAAGGGTCAAATTGGCATGTATATAATCATACTTCCACAAGAATTTCATAAACTATTATATTTATAAATGATTTGTATTTTTGTGCATTAATAATGCTGGTTACCCATCCATTACATACTCACAAAAGTCCATCACTTTTATGTTGGCAGTTGCTACTTTAACCTACAAATATAAACGCACCATTTTAAACACATCCTTACACCTGTTGATAGAACTACAAAAGCATGATTAACTTCAACATCAAATTAACCTATAACCTTTAAGTAGTATTACTTTGAATTCAGTTAGAAATACCCCTTCCTTAACATATTTCTCTGAATCTATTACCCCGTCAGATGACGTAATGGACCATATTCCGAAAGATGGCTGATCGACAAGTTCAAAGGCCTTCGTGAACACTCCTTCAATTGGGGCTGCTTTGATCCATTCGTTGACCTTCTGTCCTTTAGGATCCTACGAAATGGAACAGCGAAGATATTTTGTCAACTTTAGTGAAACTTCTGGAAGTCTGTAAACCATCATCCCGACAACTCTATTACGTATAATGTATTATTACTAAAAAGAGACAGTTACGGGTCACTGCAACAGTCTACAGCCACATATGGCTACCCTGTATTTTTGCTTAAATTGGATATGGGCGTAAGGTATCAAGTCATTTCCAACGGTGCTGACAGACAATTTACAATTGAAGAGGCCTCTAGACAGTATGTGTAGTTCTAATATATAGAGAGATGTCTTTTCGGGGTAGGGTCGCGGTGAAACGAGCTATGCAGTAGTGGACCTGTCGCAGTTCTAATCCATAGAGAGATGTCTTGTCGCGGTAGGGTCGCGGTGCCACTAGCTATGCAGTAGTGGACATGTCTCAGTTCTAATCCATAGGAAGATGTCTTGTCGCGGTAGGGTCGCGGTGCCACTAGCTATGCAGAAGTAGACATGTCTCAGTTCTAATCCATAGGAAGATGTCTTGTCAGGGTAGGGTCGCGGTGCCACTAGCTATGCAGAAGTGGACCTGTCGCAGTTATAATCCATAGAGAGATGTCTTGTCGCGGTAGGGTCGCGGTGCCACTAGCTATGGAGTAGTGGACCTGTCGCAGTTATAATCCATAGAGAGATGTCTTGTCGCGGTAGGGTCGCGGTGCCACTAGCTATGCAGAAGTAGAAATGTCTCAGTTCTAATCCATAGGAAGATGTCTTGTCAGGGTAAGGTCGTTGGTCGAAATAGTGGTGTAACAGCGGTTCAGCAGCGTTGAAAAGCAAAATGTAGAGATCCTGTCGCCGTACAAACTGTTGAGGTTATGTCTCCGTACAAACAGTGGAGCTCCTGTCCACGTACAAATGGTAGGAGTCCAGTCGTGGCACAAACGGTACAGGACCAGTCACGGTACACACGGTAGGTGTCTAGTCACGGTACAAATGGTAGAGGTCCAGTCACGGTACAAATGGTTGGTGTCAAGTCACAGTACAAATGGTAGAGGTCCAGTCACGGTACAAATGGTAGTGGTCAAGTCACGGTACAATTGGTAGGTGTCCAGTCACGGTACAAATGGTAGGTGTCCAGTCACGGTGCAAATGGTAGAAGTCCAGTCACGGTACAAATTGTTGAGGCCCAGTCACGGTACAAATGGTACAGTCCTGTCACGGTACAAATGGTAGTGGTCCAGTCACGGTACAAATGGTAGAGGTCAAGTCACGGTACAAATGGTAGAGGTCAAGTCACGGTGCGACTGCGCGTGATGCTGGGTCACCACCTGATACAGTGACTCATCATTGTTGAGATGATTTCCATGAGACGTACCTGTATTGTGATGTTAAGACGCGATGCAGATGGGAGCAGGTATTCATTCAGCGAGATTACCCGAAATCGTACTGAAATATGAAGTTATAACGAAGACTTAGAAAAACAGCTTAATTCGGTAAATGCAAGCAGTAGATACATCTACATACAATGTAGAATGAATTGAATAATAACGAAATAGACTTTCAAATAGATATATGAAACAAAAGTTTATTATAGTACATATACACACAAGTTGATGAAAATAGTGTTGTCTTTGAAAACAAATGACTTTGAAGAGCAAACGGGCATGTGCAGACGTAAAACTGGTGCTGACCTTTCGTAACTGACATATCATAAATGCATTGCAGAGTAGGTATATGCATCTTCGATTATCAAGGGTATTACCTTATCATATTATGATAAATACCCTGGACCCATATTCGCTACCATATATGACTAGCCTCAGTTTAAGCTCAAGTCGAAAGGCACGATGAAAAATAGCCGGCCAAACAAATTACTCTCATGAGCTGGAGACATGTTGTGCTATGTAAGCTACAAGAGAGGAAACGACACTATGTCGATGTATGGGTCCAGGGTATTTAGTAATAAAATATCATTATATATTAATTTTACCCTGGATAATCGGGGATGAGGATTTTACCATTTTTACTCGGTGTACACTGCGGAGTGGTCAAAACTGATCTTCCAACATACTTCGAATTCATACCAATATTGTATGACATTCACCCACATTGTATGACATTCACCCACATTGTATGACATTTATCCACAAGGTATGACATTTACCTACATTGTATGACATTTATGCACGTTGTATGACATTTACCTATATTGTATGGCATTGTAAACTGTCCAAAGTTCACTAGTAGTATATGGTAAAATCATTTCCCTTTTGTACTTTCAGACGCTTACTCAATAACGGTTTTACACTTTATGACAAGGCAATCAAGATGACGTCATCACGATGACGATATAAATACAATCATTGTTGTATTATCAAACACAAATACACATTAAGTCCAGTACTTTCATTGATAGCACGACGCACTTTAGTTATGACTTAACAACACTGAGTTATTTTTTTAGTTAAATTTGGACCAGTTACCTGTCTGTCCCCCTTTGTAGATGAATTTGTCTGTCTGGATGAAGAAATACTCGTCCTTTCTGAAGATCAGACGTTGTTCAACACGCGCCATCTTGAACTTCTGTGTTGACGGTCGACAGGAAAAGTTGTAGTCGGCTGTTTGGGATATGCCTTGTGGTATCTGTTGACATACAGACCAAGAAATATTGGAAATACATAATTGCCTTACGATTTAGACGTAAATGGAACATTCTTGCCGTTTTCAGTCGCCTGGGTGGCATCGATATCGTGTTGTTTAAACATTTCTGTATAATTAGCGATATTATATAACAGATAGGCACTTACCTTTATCCGTATATGGGCCACCCCATCTATAAAGTTAATATAATCATAAAAATACATTCATTTTAGTTTAACATAAATATAGGCACTAATAAATGATAAAGGCTGGTAAGACGGGACTGACACTGGCACCTTGTAGTAATAGTTAACACTACAAACATGCACATACATGCATATGACATTGTATATATACACAAAGACAAAAGTTAAGCACACCCCTATTTCTGAACCATGTCAAATGGCAAAAATCATGGCATGGGATGACTGACCACAGGAGCTGGGCGATACCAATGTCATCGGATAGAACGAACATGTGACAACAAATAAAGAAGATATTGGTGAGTTGTGATTGAAATTTACTGAAAAAAAAACATCATGGTAACCCAGGTACTGTTTTTGACCTTAGACAATACCTACAAAAACGTATGGAGCTACAGGATTAATTAAACGAGTTACGTTTGATGTGATAATGTTCCTTAAAGTCTCTACTTGACATGACACGTGAAACAGATCAGTAGCGGGTATAACCGCCACGTGCCGGATGATGCATTCCACCCTACATCTCATGCCTCCAGTCAGACGTTGGACCTTTTGATTCGTCAACAATAACCTCTCCTGATGCAATGCTGCCTACAATTGGCGTAAATCGTGTACAGGAGGATCTCGTGCCTGATATCACCGCCCCGGAATATCCCAAACATGTTCAAAGGGGTTCAAATCTGGGCGCATTGCTAACCAGGGTAGAGTCGTTATTGCATTGGCCCTCATGTAATTCACGACTGTATGCGAACGATGAGGCCTGGCATTGTCATCCATGTACTGAGGTCGAATAGCAAGAGGGTGGTTGGCAAAATGAGGAACGACGACTGGCCTGAAAACGTCCCGGATGTACTGAGCCTCTGTTATGTTGCCCCTTATGGTGACCAAATCCAACCTGCATTCATGAGAGATACACCTCAAACAATTACCGAGCTTCCGCCGTATGCAACATTCGGTTTAATGTTCCTGGGGGTGTAGGCCGTGTTCCGGTGCCTCCAAACTCTCGTTCTTCCATAGTGACGTGGAGCAGAAAGCGACTTTCGTCTGACCAATGGATCCGTTTCCAAGTTCTCAGATTCCAGTTCCGTCGCGCAACACCATGCTAAACGAACAGCTTTGTCGTGATCTCTCAACAAGGGACGCTTCGTCTAGCCCTCAGTCCTGCTGCTTTCAACCAGTTCCTGACGGTTCTGGTGCTGAAACGACTATTGGGCAACCACAGCTGTTTCAGACGAGTACTTGTTAAAAAGGGTTCTCGACGTATGAGACAAAGAAGGTCCCTGTCTTCGCAATGTGTCGTCATAGGAGGTCTTCCGGAACTTGGACGGTCCTGTACATCACCGGTCTGAGCATGTTTCTGGACTAAACGGCTTACGATAGTGTGCTGATACCCCAAATTCCTACCAATGGCAGAACCAGACATTCCTGCGTCATGCATGCCGATTATTTGCCTTCTTGTGGCGTCTGATAATCGCCTTCGTGCCACACAATTTCATGGAAAAACTGTTTAAAACCGAGCTTAAGAAAGCAATTTTTAGGTTTGGATATGCTGCTTTTAGAGATACTCGAGGGTAGCATGCTGTACGGGCATACTATGCATGGCACGTGAGCTTTCGACACGCATGACTGATTACATCATCTCAAGAAAACATAATTCTTCCCGTAATTATATCTTTCATGACTGTTATTGCAAATACAATTATTGGGACCAAACAATAATGAAATATATTAGTGTGTGCTTAACTTTTTTCTTTGTGTATATATATATATATATATATATATATATATATATATATATATATATATATATATATATATATATAATTTTATTATGAGTGAATGAGTTTGGTTTTGATCATCAATATGTCAATAATATCACGGCTTGTCAGCTTGATGTAGAAGGAAATCGACTAAGTCACAATGATCTACAAAGCATTGTGCTACAATTTCTTTGTAGCGATTTATCCTTGGAGAAGGACCGCCTCCGTGGTCTAGTGGTAGAGCGTCCGCCCGGAGAACGGAAGGTCCGGGGTTCGAACCCCGGCCGCGTCATACAAAAAGACGTTAAAAGATGGTACTTGTTGTTACCCTGTCTGGCGCTCGGCATTAAGAGGCTAAAACAAGGACTAGTCGGCTCGGAGTCATTATACTGTGTCTGAGTTGGGTATTCCTGTTAAACTGCGGCATGGTATCTCAGTGAGCTAGCACTATAAATTGGCATCAGTCCGGACTAGTACAAGCAGCCACACAAACACACACACGTACATGCACGTCGCTTTATAAGTGCAATAGACGCGACGTTAAACCCTATTTCACCTCACCTATCCTTGGAGATGTAGCAAATATGCAATATGTTCTGTCGAAACCAGTTTTGGATGATATACTGCTGAACATGCCCAACTAGCTCCAGAGCCGACCCTGGGAGAAGGTAAAAGCTCACCCGGTGTAACGTTTGCATTTGCAGCTTCCACGACTCTGCCGTTGCCATCCAGTATTGCTCCGAAAAGAGGTATCTCCCATCTCAAGCCCTTGCTGTGGACCTCCACACTGAAGTTGGACCCTGGCTGGATGAAGGTGGGAACCATGAAGATCAAGTTCCTGAAGGTGGATGCACATAGAATTGTTACAAATGTGTAAACGAGATGTGGGTTGTCTACCATCAATACAGTTCTTCCAGTGTCACCTTGCTGTTTCCTTTTGACTGACTTAACTAACTGAACTACCAAATTTGGGCCATAGCAACCTATGCATGTTGAAGCACTACTAAATTTGATCAGGGGGTCAGGTTCGGCGACTTGGTTGATTCCCTGCCATCGTACCCCGACTGCATGAGTCGTTGTTCATAATATCAAATTATCGGTTTGTCTGGTCCAGACAGGATTTCTTCCAGGCCGCTGCATGGGTCGTTGTTCATAATATCAATCATCGGTTTGTCTGGTCCAGACTGGATTTCTTCCAGGCCGCTGTCATATAACATATCCTCACATATTGCTAAATGTGACGTTAAATAACTACAGATATGCAAACTGTAACTGAAAATAATGCAACGGTACCGAACACGTTTATAACGAACTGACAGATATGACGAACTGATTTTTTTTGTCCCGGCCATTTGCTGTATACATGTTGTATATATGCTTATATCGAACTACGGTTATAACGAACTAAAATGTGAGGTCCTTTCGAGTTCGGTATAACCTTAGTTCAAAAATAAGTGTAATGATGCATATGCAAGGGCAGTTAGTTTTGAACCACAAGCAAAATGATTGTGAAAGCTGTGAACCAGCTCTGCCATAGCAACAGTGTGGTTTTCGAAAGCTTCGAATGAATATTCGTGTGTATTAATGCTGTTGGACCAACGGATCTTAGGCTCTTTGAAGCATGGTGCATATTTACTATCCGTCGACATAGAATTCATTGGGTGTAAAAAGCAACATATAGGTGAAAATTAAATGAAAAGACTAGATTATTCATCCCCCCCCCCCCCCCCCCCCCCCCCCCCCCAAAGTGATATACATGTTGGTGAAAAATAACATTTTTAAAACGCAGGATGTCTCGTAAAACAATATCCACTCACTACCATACATGTAGTAACTAAAGATGAAACAAGCATGTACACTCACTGTTCGGAGGCCACTGTTGTCCCACATATGGTGAGCCATATGAGCAGCAGCATTATGGATATTTAACTTATTTTCCTGAAACTGAAATAACAATGTTGTCCACATTACTTTTGAAAAGATTGTAAACAAAATATTGACAATGTTCAACAATTGATGGAAACAATACAATGGATTGTACACACATTGAACAAAACATTGCGGTTTGAATTCATTTAGAATAACATGATGTGCGTTAATTAGATAGTAAACCAACACTATATAATATGATAACATAGTAAGACTCATTATTAATACAAATAGTTTGAATAGATATGGAATCAATATTCATTCATGAGCATTAGTATATAAACTAGTATTAAATAAACAAATACAAGAAAATAAGTTCTAGAGAGTCTTTACAGCGATCATTTAACAGCAATCGGGATGGCTGCCCAACTCACCAGAAACCCTGCATCAGTCGAATAAAGAGTGGAGAACTCTGGTACCTTAAATAAAGCAACGTAAAAACATTTATTTTAAATGACAGGATACAAATATCGAAATAAGTAATAAAAAGAAGGTTAATTTGATTTTATGGGATTGCGACATGTTTTTTTCCCATAAAAGGTGCATGTGTAATATAGCTTATCTTTTGAACACCAAATAGAGGACTACTGCATCAATAAGGAGTGTATAGAAAACAAGTACCTGCGTATCCTAGTCGTTGAGAAATTTTATGAAAGTAATGTCACTCAAAAATAGTAGCACCAGCCGAACCTTCATTTAAAACATAAACAAGAAATTAATCATGGTTAGTTTAATTTCTTTGTCAGTTTCTGGCTTCATGCACCAGGACTTTATTTCACCTGAATGACAACATTTATCATATAATTATATTATGAATGATTAATGACTAATGATTAATTTCTTGTGTCTGTGGTAGCCTCCTATTTAATTCAGTCCAACGCATGTATACAGTTGCTATCATATCAGTAATTGATTGAAAGAATAACGTTTGATCAGTTCTTATCATTTGATGTCTTACAGGCTCATTATAATATTTTCAATACAATATTCTGTTTGCCTCACATTTTATCTGAGCGGTGAGGTAGCCTAGTGGTTCAAGCGTTTGCACGTCACGCCGAAGACCCGAGTTCGATTCCCGACATGGGTACAATGTGTGAAGCCCATTTTTGGTGTCCCCCGACGTGATATTGTTCGAAAATTGCTAAAAGCGGCGTAAAACCATGCTCACTCACTAACTCATTCAATTATATCAAATACGTTATGAATTGTCGTGTGTTGGCCTTGATCGCCTGAAGTATTATGAATGTGATAAGCCACACAGTATTTCCAACAATATTAAGTTGTTAGCCTTGATCGCCTGAGGCGTATTTTGGATGTGCTAGAAAACATGTACTTTCCAACGATGTTCATTTGTTAGCCTTGATCGCCCAAGGCGTATTTTGGATGTGCTAGGAAACATGTACTTTCCAACGTTGTTTACTTGTTAGACTTGATCGCCCAAGGCGTATTTTGGATGTGCTAGGAAACATGTACTTTCCAACGTTGTTTACTTGTTAGCCTTGATCGCCCAAGGCGTATTTTTGGATGTGCTAGGAAACATGTACTTTCCAACGTTGTTTACTTGTTAGCCTTGATCGCCCAAGGCGTATTTTGGATGTGCTAGGAAACATGACTGTACTTTCCAACGATGTTCATTTGTTAAACTTGATCGCCCAAGGCGTATTTTGGATGTGCTAGGAAACATGTACTTTCCAACGATGTTCATTTGTTAGCCTTGATCGCCCAAGGCGTATTTTGGATGTGCTAGGAAACATGTACTTTCCAACGATGTTTACTTGTTAGCCTTGATCGCCCAAGGCGTTTTTTTGCATGGCGTGATAAGCAACATGTTTTTGTTCCAAACGATGTTCACTTGTTAGACTTGATCGCCCGAGGCGTGTTTCACATGGGGTATCCAACGATGCTTACAGGTTCCCCTTGATCGCCCTGGGCGTATTTTGAATGGGATGCTATACATTGTTTTTTCAACGATGTTCACTTGTTAGCCCTGATAGTAACGATACGCGCACGTGAAATATACTAACTTGATACATGACACTTGATGTGTGACTGACACCGAGAGTTGAAAATTGACAGTTGACAATGCTTTTAGAAAACGTTAGGTTTCGTCCCTTTAGGCGCTCAAGAGACATGTAGTCGTGGGTTCGAATCCCAGATTCGTCCTGTCTATGTTTCAAGGTCATCCGCACCATCGTGGGTTTCACTGCAGTAGTGTTGCCTAAACCTTACACCGTGATTCACCTGGAATACTGTTCAAGATGACGTTAACAAAACCTCACTTGCCGTCATGGCACTGTTTCCAGTGAAATCATCCGGATAACAAATTTCATAATAATAAAAACGTCCGGAAAGCGGGGTGTTCGGATTAACGGGGCCCGGACTAACGGACTACATATCTAAGTATTGTCACACAGAACTGCATAGTTTTGGTTCGCTACATATATTCATACAAATACTCCATACATCCACCCGACGCACTACCAAACATGCCTTACTTCCAATCGAGTTGTTTACGAAAACATAACCCGTCTTATGGCTAAACAACCCGACCGTACTAACAGGTGCTCCAATTCCACTCTTTACGACCTGCCCACAAACAAACAATGTATGGATGGTGAAGGCTGTATACATTAAACATGTCACTGAGATGGTCTGTTCAGCCTTCTGGAGGTAACTGTTGCCTTAATACTATGCTTTGGTCATAAAGTCCGAGCGTTATTGGTGATAGCTATAATTACGCTCCAGTAATGGCCTCTTTATAACTGTTGTTGACGGGAAAGACATTGTGATTGTAAACATGTGGAAACATATCAGCTAGCCTTTATTGGTGATATGGTTTAATGGGAAATGTCGCAAGCCTGAGAAAAAATGTTTTAAACGAATGTAATGACGGAGCGACTTTTGAGATATGTTCATAGCTATATTTAACACAAAGCCATTCTTGTTGAGTGCATACAAGGTACGCGGAACACGTGTTGCTTAAAGACATGTTCAATAGAGATTCTTTTGTGGTGGTGGAGTTGGGTGATAGTGGCTGTTGCATTAGTTGTAGTCTTGGTTGTGTAGCAGTTGTGGTCGTGGCAGTGGTAGTAGTGACTGAAGTATTTACAGTTCATGGCAGAGCAAAGTCGGATACTTCTAAGGACGTTCAGTTTTTAGTGAAACCTGAGAAGTCTGGACACCGGCCTCCGGATGAATACTCTTAATCCAGGATTCGATAATCCGGCATTACACGCCCCAAACTCTACTTTATTCGTCCAATCGAGAATCCGGAAACTCGTTAATCTGGAAAGTTGTCGTCCGGATTAACTGGGTTTATTGTGAATGAATGTACATGTAGCTCCACAGGGTTCGCGATACCTTTCCTGTGTGTATTTGTTTGTTTGTTTGTTTGTTTACGCCGCACTGTTTTTTAGATTTGTATGTGACGATGGTCTGTAAATTATCCCTTCTTGACCAGACAAGTCAGTAATTGATATGGTCAACGATCCATGCTGTTGGGATACGAGCATGCGACCAAGTCACCCAATACGTTAAAGGGCAAGTACACACGGAAATGAACCTATTTTTCTTGTACTTTTTCCACATTAAAAGTATTAACCTAGTAGTGTCATAGACAAAAATATAAAAATATCACAATTAATTAACATATTTTTTGCATTAAAACGATTTATATTTTTCACATTTACCAAGTGTTCTATTTTCATAACAAAAACAATATGACGTCATTGGGGCCAATTGATAAACATTATGACGTCATCGTGCTATGTTAGAGCCGCTTCATGTGGTGTATACGTAGGTACAGGTGTGTGATTCTAGCGTCTCAGATGCCAGCCAGCATAGTGTTATGCTGAGTCACCACTGCGCCGGAGTGTGTCGTAGGCCATGTTGTTTTACCGCAAACTGGTACTTGATATCTTTTGCGTTGAAAATAGACAGGGATCCAGTTGAATTGGAACCAATTACGTCATAATCTAAGGGGGATAACTCAGGCCTGTTTAGCTCGAAAAACGAAGGCCTCATAACGGCATATCATTTTCACACTATTGTGAGCTTCCTACTTTCCCTGTGAAAAAAATGAGTTTGCATTTTCAAACACAGATATTAACTAATTCTAAAATTGCGTTTTGTTTAGAAAAAGAAAGAAAGTGATTTTTGCGTGTACACTTCCCCCTTTAAGTCTCCTCGCTTGACAAACGTTGCCAATTCTGTAGATGTGGAGGACACTGTAATGGGCTTGGGTGGTGCTTGGTAGTCACGAATAGAAATAGATGAATGGGAACTATGTGTAGTAAAACTGTAGCAATGATTGTAGTAGTACTGTCGTACCTAGTACCTGTAACAGCTACACGTCCAGCCAGACCACACAAACATAAAACACCTTCCGTCTCGTAAATCTATTTCCGTCAAGTTACCTGAACTATTACAATTCACGAGTATTTCCGCGCATTTCGTGTGCTCTAACCACCATTAAACACCCACTTCAACCAGCGCCCTGTCAGCTTGTTCAAAGACCACGTCACTCCCATAGCTTCAGTTATGACCAACGGAGAGCCACAAGTCACACGTTCAACACCTGGGTACGATAACCTCCACGCTAGGTGGCATTGCGCTGGTGAGAATATGACATTGGTGGGTTCCTATGTCCGTTAAAGTCTACTCCACGTGGTCATAAACGGAGTCTCTGAGAATGAAACGATCTGATTTATAGTGGGAAGTTAAACGTTGGATTGGTCGTTGAAGAATCACGTGTTCATGTCTTCGGTACATCTGATATCGCGAAGCTAAACATAGCATCGTCCGAATGAGCAGTTTTTATTCAATTTGCTATTACACGTGGAACAAAATATTATTTAGTTTGACAAGTTTTTTCAATATTATTGTCGGTATGGCCCATCACGTGGATTATGACTCATAAACCTAAAACTACATCGGTTCTAATACAGACTTATTAAAAAAAAATATATATTACAGGTTCAGATTTACTATTTTGCGTTTCCTTAAAGCATTTATTTCATATT